AGGGAGGTTATTTTAACATTATAAGTATAAGAAATCCAACATAAATTTCAAAACCGTTCATTATGAGGAGGTGTTCATCCAAGAGAAGTTTACCCAAGAGAAGTTGCACTGTAATTAGTGACAGACTTAAAGCTCGGGAATTACATATGAATGATAAATACAACATGATTATTATTAAAATGAAAGAGAAGACACATATATTAATAACATTATACATTTTTTGTTCGCGATTAGCAGGTAGGTGATTAAATAATAAATAATTGTTAATTGAGTATTTAATTGAGTATTTAATTTAGTACTAATATTTTTGGTGGTATTCATAATGGTTTACATTAAATACTATTCATTAATGCAATTCATTTAAACCATTATATTCCTAATCCCACTATCTATTAGTATATATTCTATGGCTTATGATGTAATGAAAACAATATTAAATTTCTATATTATTCACTATTATTTTCAATTGAGAATCAATTTATTAAACGCTAAAATACAAGGACTTACTAAAAAAGTATTTATTAAAAGATTAAAGAATAATTTCTATGAAATATTTAATGAACACAACACTATTTGTTATCAAATATACATATTTAATAAATTCTGGCAAATATTTTACTTTTTTCTAATTTTGATCATGATGATAGGAAGTTTATTATTAATTGTCATGATAATTTTTACTAAATTAGAATTATTTTTGTTAATACTTTATACATATTCATTTATATTAACCTGGATGTTTATATTTTTTACGTCTTATTGTGCATCAATGGTATCAAAATTAATACATTTATCACATAATAGTAGAGTGACCAACCGTACAGGTTTGGCCTGTACAGTACAGGAATTGAACAATCTGTTCAGTGTACAGGCAGGGGTCTCACCTGTACTATACAATGTCCAGGCGAGAAATTGATAAAATTCAGATTATAGATTTATACTTTTATAGCAGAATTATTATTCTTAAATCTAAAATACGCATTTTTCTTTTAATTTTGTCAAAATTGTATTTAAAATACATTATACTGTGAATTTTAATTAATTTATCTCGTCATAATATACCCAATCCTATTTGTACAGGAATGCAATGCATGGTCTGCACAAATTCTGATTATCTATAATTATGCTCTGTTGAGAAAATTAGTGTCCAGGCGAGCGTACAGGCAAGTTTACTATAATGTACAGGAATGTCTCGGAATTTATATAGAAAGTATAGGAAATGTACAGGTTTCTCATTTTTCGAGTTGGTCACTCTACATAATAGTGTGATTTCAATGCAATTTTTAATGAAACGTAAAATTGATGTTAAGTTAAAACTAATGGAATTTATAGAGAAATTACTGTCAAAACGACTCATAACCGGCTTTTCTGTCGGACCTCTATTTGTGATGACTTTTCCTAAACTATTATTTGTAGGTATTTTATAATTAATGAAATTAATTTTTATTATAAATCAAATACCAATAGATATTAATATCATTGTTTTAATTACAGATAACAGTTATCTATTGTAAATACTTCATGCAAACGCTGAAACTATCTAAAAAACTATATTGATTGTTTTTGTAAAATGTCAGGTTTAATATTAATATTTAATGCTTACTTAAATTAGCATTATAATAATTTTGACTAATATACAATGTTATAGTTTATAATTGTTTGAAAATATTGCTTGGATAGTATTAGTAGAATTGGAAACCTATTATACTACATATTTTGTAGTGTAGCTAAAATTCTTAAATCAGTCTGATAATTTAAGTTAACATTCTTAGGCACTAGAATCCAAGTTTCATCAAGATGGGATGAATAGTTAATGAACAGGATTTTTTCAAAGTTTGTCAGTCGGAATTATTTTGAAAAATTTACAACAAAATATTTGATTAAAAATTATCTCATTTTAAAAGTGAAAATATTTTTTACTAAAGAGGTGTTTGAAGTGATTATTTAGTTATTGGGATTCACTATTAGTTATTTGACAATAGTTTAGAGAAGATATCATAACTTCAATGATAATGAGAATCAAATGCGAACCGACCGAACACAGGCCGCCAATCGGGTAAATCACCGATTTTTGTGTGGCCACAGTTGGGGTACCCGTCACTGTTGGCCATTGAATAGCATCTCATTAAATACATTAAATATTGATGATTTCAAAAGAGTAGGGGATTTGTATTATCTATATTATTATTTAAGCATGATAAATTTTAGTC